TATATATATATATATATATATATATATACATTCCTCCTGACCATGCCCACTCAATGTGTCTTGGAAAAATGATCAGACAGGCAGTTTGCTCAGCCATGTGGTCTATTTAATGGTACTAAATTCACTGGCTATTGACATGGAGCTCAGAATGTGGCAGAAATGTGACACTCTGGCTGCAGGTGCTGGGAAAAGGACCAATAAAGAGAGTGTTAAAGAGGCCATTTCTGATGCCTGAGTACCCATCACATGGTGCAAATATTCCAGAAGCACCACTCCAACTATTCATGTGATGTCTCATCCCTGTGCTCAACATATGAGGTGTGTCACCTTCCATTATGTTCCTTATGAGAAACAACACCACTTTAACCTGTCCTACTTAGGAGATGACTGCTGACATATACTGGTCGTATAGGTAATATCACAACTTTTTATTGCATACAATATCATCAATTTCAGAGAGCAAAAAAGATATGTGAAGGATAATGTAGAAATCATTCAATGCATTATGACTATATTCAGAGCTCATGTATTACATTCTTTTTTTCTTCTTCTTTTTTTCTGATTGCTATGATAAATGGTTTATTAAGGAAAAACTCTTACCAACAAAGATAGATAAGTGCAAAATGTAAAAAAAAAAAAAAAAAACATGCTAAATTTAATATTGATGTTTGGTCATGCTTTAGTTTGGGGACCAATTCTCACTATTAACTATGCCTTTTGCCTTAGTAAACTCCTAATTTGCTGCTTATTAATCATTAGGAAGGTAGTTGTTAGGTATTGGGTAGGGTTAAGGGATCTACGAAATTAGCCACCACTTCCCCAAAAGTAAAATAGTTATGACTAGACAATAATAAATGGTTTAAGCAAAACAACTCTTGCCAACAAAGATAGAAAAAAAAGTGCGCAGTTTAGAAAAAAAGGAAACCCTAAATGTAATTCCCTTTCAAGGGAACTTCGAACGGTGTCCTCTAGGGGTCGCTATGGGGAACGCCTCGACGTGACCCGTGTCTGAAGTATACATTCAAAACAACACGTTTGCCGGCGACAGCCTATGACGTCACTACCGGTGCGACCACAGTATAAAGAGGCGCCAGAAGAACACGTCATCCTCTTCTTCATCTTCAAGTGACTGTTTTGTTTGAAGCATGCATTCCAGTGGTAAGAACGATCTTTTCTTCCCCTCTTGCGCTCGTTGGCCGCGGATGAGGGTGAGCCGTTGGAGGATGATGATATGATTTCCTTAACATCATCTGATCCAGCGGCCAGTGCTCTGCTGGGTTCTGCCCAGGAAGAGCAGGAGATGTCTGAGGGGGGCGAAGAAGTTGAGGCTGAGCCCTCCCAATCCTCCTGCCCTGCGTATGATGAGCTATTGGAGGTTATGGAACGTGCCACGGTGAGGCTTGACTTGCCATGGAAGCGGGCCAGGAAGATGGTGCCGCGAAGTCCTCTCGACGAGCGTTATCGTTCTGACCATAGCCCCCCAGCTCAAGTGAGCCTTCCTTTTCTTCCTGATCTCCATACGGAGATCGAGAAGGAATGGAGGAGGCAGTTTTCCTCCCGCATCCATAGATTCCAGCATACAAGTTATGCCAACATCGAGGGGAAGCACGAAAGCGGCTATGAGAGGATGCCCCCTATAGAAGAGATGCTGGCTAGCTATCTCTCTGTGGGTGAGACATCCTCTCTCAAGGCTCCCTCCTTGCCATCTAAGCCCCTTCAGGATACATCTCGCTTAAATGGCAGGGCATACGCAGCAGCAGGTCAGGCTGTCGCTTCGTTGCACACGATGGCGGTGCTCCACGAAGGTCCAGGTCTGAGCCCAAACAACACAGGGGTCCTGGCCCATCTCGGTCTGAGGATCAGAGACGGGCACAGAAGGCTAGTGTCGCGGCTCGCGCTCCTCACCCACCTGCGGGTAGGGCTAGGAGGAATCGCGGGTCAAAGGGAGGTAGGCAAGACCTGAGGGAGGTGATCCAGATGATGCGTTCCCAATGCTCTCGTCCGGACCAGAGTGATACCTGAACATCTACTCATCTCCCTCAGGGGGTTTAACATCTGCCCTCATCTTCCCCTTCCTAATTCCCCTGTAACCACCATCATCTCCACCTGACCGAGGTTAGGTAGGAACGTCCTGTGCCTGCTTTGCAGTCTCCTATGCTGGACCTTTGA